GCTTCACCTTCTAACAGTATAAAACAGGATAAAGTGCTTTTGTTTTTTGTTTGTTTTCTGAGTGCGTTTCGTAATTGTAATTGATAAAACATAATGAGGACAAATATTAAGGCGTATGCAATAATAGTCTGTGTTCAAGATAAGGTTAGGGTTAGCGTTACTAATAGACTCGGCGCATGCGTCATCATGTCACAGTCAGTAATTTCTGAAAGGACGAGTTTTAACACTCTTGCCTCAACTCGACTTGTTTTTCCGTTACACTGGTCATGTTCACATTTCGTTTTCCATTTTGATAATTAATGATGACGTTGATGATGATCAAGATAATGATACTGATGGTGATAATGATGATGGTGCTGCTGATGATGGTGATGATGGTGATGATGTGGATGATAATATTGATGATAGTGATTATGATGATGATGATGATGATGATGGTGCATGATGCTGATGGTGATGGTGATAGTGACAATAGCTACTCTAGGGATGCCCAGGGGGGGGGGGGTCATAAAGCTGTTCGTAAAGTTACGCATGACTTTACGAACGACTTGTATATGAAAAGACAAATGGGATGCTCAATCATTATTAAATACATCAACTAAAGTTGAACTGTGCAGATGTAAATTAACATTCTTATGATAGCAAACATTTTTAATGCAAAGTGTATTTTTTGCCATAATTTAATTGAGGTTATAGAAAATATCGGAAAAAACTTTGGGCATCCTATCTGGCACTTCATATACAAGACGTTCGTAAAGTCATGCGTAACTTTACGAACAGCTTTATGAAACACCCCCCAGGTTTAAACATGGAATCTGGAAACGTTCAATGAATATTATTCTACCAGGTGCCCACTTATCACACTTTGGTTGAAAGTGGCAAATGTAGATTAATGTTTTATCAAATGATAATAGCCCCTCGCTGAGACATGAACCGTGAACCAATTAATCTCTATTTCGGGAAATATGTTCAATATATTAGACCAGGATATTATTCGAATGTTATCATACTCAAAATCTACAACAATAGTTTGTCTTCATTGAGTACTATAAAGGGTGCAATGTCAACTGGATTTTCAACTTTGTTGTTGACTTTGAGCACCTCTAATTTCTCTCCCTCCTCTGTTTCCCGCCTTTTTTCTTTTGTTTTATTTTTATTATCTCCTAAAACTGTTTCACCTCGATTGGTCTTAAAGTCATACTCATTGCTAGATTACCTCGTATTCATCGTGGTAAGTGCAGCGTTGAACCAAAGATTACCAATCGATCACGCTTTTTGCCTCTTTGTCTGGCTATCGATCACTCGATCATGCCAAGTCGTCTGCTGGTACGTTGCTTGCCTCTCACTAGTCTCAGTAGGTAATATGTCTCCATTAACATTGTGTTTCAGCTCGTTTAGGCTTCTGTGGTCAGGGATCTTTGCTTGACAGTTTCTAGGACTCAATATATGCGACTTCGAGCGTGTAAATTCACAAGAAACATTAGAAAAACAAAGACTCTCGCAGAGGCCTTGGCATTGTTTCTGGCCAGAACGAGGTTCCAATAATTTAAATCGCTTTTCTTTGGGTGTTGAAGCGTTAAAGGAAGCTGGAAATTTGATCAACGCTTCACTTAGACTTTCTACGAATTTTGATCTTGATTGATTCATTTGGATGTATTCTTGATGAGGATTGACATTTGGAAGTAAACACTAATGATGATATATATATATGGTGTAAACACTGCTGTTTAGATTTGTCGCACTAGACGTTTTATGGTTGGCAAATAAAATGGTTACCTTCCCGAGTGAGTTTCACTAGTCAGGTCGGATGAAACTTCATTCACGCTACGTCGTCATCATACTGATCATGTGGAATAGCTTCCATTAACTCGGAGATGAAATGTTTCTTTGGACATTTCTTCGTAAGATTGTCATTGTTGTACTTTAGAATGTCTATTGAGGAAAACCGTCTACCAGAATCAGCATAGAATTTATTCATTAAGTAAGTTGATCTTTTCACTTTCTTGTTAAATGTAACGAAAAATTTGTTCAACGTATTTAAATATGTGCTATCAATTAATGTCAATAATCACTTTAAATTTGACCTGATTAGAAAAAAAACTAAATATTGACTAATATGCAATGTGTACCGGTATCCAGATGAGCTTCACATAAATTCGTTTTATTTTATTGAACACGACCGAAATAAGAATGGAATTTAATGATAGTTGTTGATTTATGTAAATTTGTTCTTAAAATCTGTTTCATAAACCACTTTCGAAGCACATCGTCATCTTCATTTTTTATTTTATCTTTAAATGTCATATTAGACATGCTTTAGATCTGAAACATTCGAGAGAATCATTGATTGGTATCTAATTCTATGTGTCAGTTCATGAAAAAATGGGTGTCGACTTGCAATTATATTTCAAAAATACGTTTCCGTTCTTACGATCATTAATTTATTTGATTGCATGTTTTGTGTATACACCATCCATGCCAAGTTTTTAACTTAACTTCAAAATGCTGCAAAGGTCGGATTGTCCCTTCTATTGACAATCCAACCCTTGAAATAAGTGCATTAGTATGATAGCAGATAATTGAGAGAAACAGAATGGCGAAAATTCGAAATACAATATTTAAAAATATTAAATATTTGAAATATGAGATCACTACAGTTATGCTCATCTCAAATTGGCAATTGTGTCACTAGATTATGACGTAGTGATGGATAAATCTCCCTTTAGTCGTGTACCAATTTCTAATACTAATTTATGTTGTCTTCACCCTTGGGGCACTACTTAAAATATTTTATGGTGAAAGTGTTATTACAGTACCTCTAAAAAGACCATCCAGAGTAATACTTTTCAAAAGAAATGAAATTTTCGTCATTTTGTGTGTTCGAACGAATAGGAAAGTTATCAGCCACTACATGACAGAAACATTGCCAATTCTGCCAAATGAAGAGCCATACCTATAGTGAAGACAATTTTCAAAAATCCATTACTCTCTCATTTTTTTGTTCGATTTCATTTAAACTTTCACCAGTATGCTTTTTTGATTTTTATCTATTATTATCGAAATTGGGGATCTTAAGTTTTATAATCTAGACAGGACTGACCCGTTAGTTCTTATTATAATAAGAACTAACGGGTCGGTCTTTAGTTCTTAAATTCCATAAACCTTCTATAATACCCTTGTTATATGGCCGGTGGTTTCTAATCGATAAGTCAGGGCTTAACAGGTCATTGATAGCCCTTATCAATTACCGTTAGTTGGCCCAACTATAACTGTAGTTAATCCCTTTGTACAGAAGCATCCGTATAAGATGGGCGCTCAAGGTTGTAGCAGGATAAAAAAAATAAAAAAAAACATGTTATCTCAACGCAGTCAGAGTGTTTTACAATTAAGAGGCTGAAAATCAATTTCCTTGTAATTAATACTTATTTCCAATTCCTCTTCCTTCAATTCCTTCCAAAACCTTGGAGTGGTCGTTAATAGTTGGCCTTCTGTATTAAAACCCACATACTTATAATCGAATCGAGTCAAAATAATATACTGCATCAGTAACAAGAATAGAAATAGAATGAGAAATGGAATATATTTCGTTTAACTCTCGAATATAAAAAACTAATAATTTATATTTTCGTACTGACTATATCTACCGACCGAACGATTAGATTTTAGGCTGTATTTGAACTGATCACACGGGGTTACCCCTGTTGTCATTACAATCCCGATCAGAATATGTTTCTTTATGTCAATTTCATTGCATTTCATTGTTCCATAGGTTCAAGTATGAAGTTGTGTATTTGCCAGCTGCAGTAGATTCAAAATCATGTCGGCTTCAATTTTTAAATAAGCGATGACGACACAGGAAACAGTGATCTCATGACTGACTGCCTTGACAACTCCTCCCCCCCCCCCCCCCCCACCAAAAAAAAAAATAAAAATAAAGTTGAGTTCTGGTGAAAATTAAAATATTATGTTTAAGCATGCTAACTCCTTACATGCCAGTTTGGAAGAATATCGGAGTGGAAATATCCCACTGAAAAGAACTGCTCTTAAAATTCAGGCTTATTTAAAATATGACGAGAAAAACAGCTGAAAAGTTTGGAACCAATATCCGTACCACATTCTTATGGAGTCCCATGTACCGATTTTTCTGTAAATTGCAAATAATTTTCAGCAATACCTTGTCAATTTCTTATCATTGTGATCATTTAAAAAATACTCGCAGTATACATCAATTGAGTACCACAAAATCTATCTTTCCAAAACTGCTTCCAGACAGTGCCTTTCACAATAAAATCGCATGACAAATACTCAACTGTATCTTTGACATCCTGATTATAGGTCCATTTACTGTTTCGTTTCCTTACAATCATTGTGCAACCCAGTAAGTATTCTATGCAGTAATTCCCTAATTAAGGTACCCACAAATATGCAAGGGCAAATGTGAAATTGATGTGGATTACTGACGAGGTAATCATCAGAGCGGCACAGTTCAAAGAAACCTCTATCAGAGGAGGGTTCATCTCTGTGATGAAATGAATTCTAATTGTAAAATCAATGGTCAAGCACGTCAGTGTCGTATTGTAATCCTGTTAATGAGATTAAACCCCAGTGTATCAACAGGTATTATTTTGTATTGTGTCAAAGTGCATCCTTGGGTCATACATCACTCCTTCTCGTTTTCAAAGAAATATAGGACTCTGAAGGGTTACATCGTAGCTATGAAATTCTGAGAAATCAACACAGACAAATAAACGAGGAATGACGTAAGACAGTAACCATTGACATATATACATATTTGTTCACAAATAATTATGACACTATCTATAAAGTCAAAAGGATATTAAAGTGTAATTAATTATTTAAATCTCATTTCATTTTTTTATTTTTTATTTTCAGCCTCCTGTTAAATCGTTTATCTACTAGTTTGAATATGTTGACCATTTTTCGTATGATTGTTCGATGGAAATGACTTTTACATGGACGCATTTTCATATCTCTAACAGGATATGACTACCAACATTTCTCATAGCAACGGGACCCTGCACTTCATCACATTAACACCTATCGTTGCCATGGGAACGGAGGAGAGGATGACTTCTATTCCGTGTGATGGTCTCCACGATGAGACGGTTTATCGATTTATTTCCCCAGTGCTTTTCGGCTGCGTCTGTGTTCTTACATTGCTGGGCTTGGTGCTGTCCACTGTGTTTCTAGTCTTCAACATAAGATACAGAAATCACAGGTAAGATTGCCTATTTTCCAGGTAATTCATTCTGAAAATTTAATTGAAAATGTAAAAATCGTAACATCTGGGCCCCATGTTTTAAAGAGTTGATATCGATACCAACAATTTACATAAGAATAGAAGACTGCAAACTTGCGATTGATTGGAGGTCGGCCCTGGTCTGCCCTCCCTTTTATCTATATCTTTCTCTCTCTCTCTCTCTCTCTCTCTCTCTCTTTCTTCCTTCATTACCTCTAACCAACTCTACGTTTGTTTGTTTGTTTTTCTGCAGATTCTCTGCCTTTTTGGCTCTCTTTGAACCTCTACATTTACATATCTCAGAAATATTACCATTTCGCCCTCATTTTTCAGAAAACAAATATCAGTGTATATTCGATCTTACCGTATTCGATTCTAATGCCAGTCTATTAAAAGTTTTTAAAAATCTGCTCCTGTTTAGATATAACATGTATATTAGTTTTGCATTATTAATGAACATTTGAAACAATATCAATACGTGCTATTTATACAGTTTGAATATATCCATGTCAGTTTTAATGGTGATCCCTTTTTCATGTCATCAACAGATTAATCAAGATGTCAAGCCCCAATCTTAACATATTAATTGTGTTTGGCACCATTCTCATCTACACCTGCGTAGTTCTACTTGGGATTGATATTAACACTACATCATTGGAAACATTGACTGCACTCTGCAAGGTAGGTGTGTCGGGCTTACTTCGTTCAATCGGGTCTTAGCGTTACGACAGGTCGGGTGTAACGTTTGTGAAATACATCCTTCTTATCGCCAAAGTGTCGGGTTTAGTTTATCCGACGCTTTCTTGAAAAACCATCAGCAAATCAACGATTATTCTCATTTCGATCCGACACTTTTGAATAAGAGATAAATAATCACAAGGGTTCGTAAATGGGCCAGCGATCGACACTTCGTAATTGTCTGATTGTATTGACATGGTTTCACAAATGTACGTGACTGTAGATTAGCCTTGTCTCAAAGAACATCTTTGATAACATTTTGAATTTCATTTACCCGACCTTTCGTGAATAAAAAGGCATTTTTCACCACCCTAACCCTAACCCAACGCCAAGATCCGATGAAACGAAGAAAGCCCTTGTTTCGCACTCAATCCACATATTTCATTTTTCTGTAATTACATTCGACTTCTGTTCGTTTTTTAACTAAGTAATTAAACTGCCATTATTCAATGAATAGTACGTGGATTTGTGCATTCAGGTACACGGAATCTTTCGGACATGTCAGAAGGGCCCATAAGATTTAGCTTTTGTCTCGAGGTTCTACGGTCTTCGACTCTTGTGGGCCTCCTGTTCTGTTTCGCGGACCCTTGGAGTTGCGAATCCTTGAGCATATAGGATGTTCCCTTCCTTATTTAAAAGTTGATTCTGTCATTAATACGTATTCGGGTCAAGGAATTCTGAGATATTTTCTTGAAATTGGATTTTCAATTTTTGTCATAAAATAAATGAAATTCGTTGCTCCTGCAAGACGATTCGTGAGAAATATTATGGAACGGTTTGCTTTTTGTTAATTTTTTGAAAAAGGGGCTGTTTTTTTCATCAAAACTTCTTTCTAAAAAACAAGAAGAAGGTTTGTCATTACGTCAAGGTACAGAATGATATCTTACCTCTTACATCGATGAATAGTCTCACTGTGAGTGTCTCGATTGATTTTAACATCTTGAAATGAAAATTTTGAAGGAGATTGCTTTTGATATCTAAATAGCTCTTTTCTTTATATTTCAGGCTCGAATTTTCCTGCTCATGTGCGGTTTTACGCTAGTATACGGCTCTCTGTTCAGCAAATCATGGCGAGTGTATAGAATATTTGGACATACTGGTGCAAAGAGAATGGTAAGATTGGAAGATGGACAACCTTGCAGTGCGGCTTTTTTCATGAAAAATCATTTACGATATAATTATGGAAGACCAATAGTGCCACAGTGAATCAAAATATAAATGGTGCTTAATGGCGGCTGCCATCCGTAAATGGGCGGTTGCCAGTTGATAAGGGTTCTGGCACCGCCACATAATTAACTGACGGCCGCCAGTTAGCACCATTTAAATTTGAATTCACTGGTAACATGAATGGGCTTCTGTACGATATGATTTGATTATACTGTATGACAAGCATACAGCACATGCTGCAGATCCCGTTTTTTTCATGAAAAGCCTACTTCCAGTGGGATCGTGAGAACATACTATTAGAAATTGTTAAATCATATGTAAAACAAGTAAAATCATATGTAAAACAATTAAAATCATATGTAAAACAATTAAAATCATATGTAAAACAAGTAAAATCATATGTAAAACAAGTAAAATCAAACACAAACAAATAACTCATACAAAATTATGAAGAGTACTACTAAAATGTATAAAGGGCTATATATAATCCATTTTTTGTGGGTTTATTCAATTCTAATGAATAAACTTTATGGTCACTCTTATTTATAATAACATCCAATATTTCTACCGTTATTACGATAATTTTTTCCGGATTTACAAAAAAAAGGCCAAAATGCGTAGATACCAGGGCCGGATGACCAGGACATTGGATACATAACGTGGATATGTCATGGTTCATACATTGGACTCTCAATCCAACGGTTGAGATTTAGAATGTTCTTGGGCAAGACAAGGTGCAGATTGGTACCCGATTTAATAGTATACAAATATTGACTGCTCATGAGGATGATGGTGGGAACTATCACTCCCAAGGTGGTGTTTACACCGGCCCTTCTATCACCCCCGAGGCGAAAGCCGAGGGGGTGATAGAAGGGCCGGTGTGAACACCACCGAGGGAGTGGTAGTTCCCACCATCATCCGATTACAGAGCAGTCCATATTTGTTTTATATACCTCATCCTTTTTATTGATTCATGATTAGGTCTAGCTGTAGGTCTAGATCTAGCTCTAAAAACAGGAAACGAGATCAAGAGGAATTTACTAACCCAAATAAGAAAAATCCAACATCAAGTCCAACGCAAGAGTATTGAATTCCTACGCGCTGCGCGTAACCGCGCGATTGCGGTAGCCTAGCAACTCAGAAAATTTGTGTGCTCAACTAAGTCGCGGGAGGGGTTAGGGGTCCTATCCCAGGGTTTGATAGTAGCTATCAACCCCTCTGACGTAATGATACTTGATAGATCGAAATGCTCCTTGACATGTGATATAGTCTTGACCAATCAGTGAATGACAATCTATGTATGAGGTATATAAAACGCTATATATTTGGCCGCAGGGTATGTCTAGAGTATTAATGTTGGAGCGTCAGGCGCCAACGGCGTAACGGACATGAGCGCTATATGAGAAGGTATAACATATTCCGCACATGCGCAACATGCAATTTGGAGATATCAAAATATATTATGTATGAATTCTCTCGATGTGGACTAGTTAAGTAAAGTTCAGATCTCTGTTGCCTGCAGCAGAGTTTCTGCAAATATTCCAAGATTTGTATTTAATCTCTGACCGTCAAATCTAGAGCAATCCTTTTTCATTTCTTGATAACTCCTGCAGGTGATACGGGATAATCGACTGATAGGAATAATAACTTGCTTGCTTCTTGTGGATTCCTTTATCATGGCACTATGGCTTATCTTCGATCCTCCACAATGCCAGGTGCAATTACTTCCTGTTACGTCAGAGGTAAGCATATAGATTATGAATTGAGACGAACTCTAAAATGATAAATGAATGAATGCAGATAATATACGTACGTAGAGTAGGTCAAGGGTAATAGAGCATTGGAGACTGTTTTAATCGTCTTTTTGCAGGCTTAAATCCAAATACGTACACCGTGGGAAAGCAGTGGTGTCTATGAACTACAAACTATTCAATATTTTCCGCTTCCGTCACAAAATAATCCTTAATTTCTTTCACCAACAAATCAACATTTGTTTTTACCTAGTTCGAGTTTTGTGTGAACTGCAATTGCATTTCAATATTAGTCACTCATATTGATGTACTAATTATACTGTTATCATTATTCTATTTCAGAATTCATTGAAATACACTTGATCCAATAGATAAGAAAAAGTTCAGTGTTCAGCCCATTGACTTTCACAAAAAATAGGACGATATGTCTTTTCAAAACATCCGATTAATGGTTTCATGTTGTACTGATCCTCAGAATACAGCAACTCAATCTACTGATAATCCCTTGACAACGCAACCGACCACGCCCACGTTGAGGGGCTCGGTCTACGTGTGCCACTCCCATTATCATGAAATCTGGTTGCTAGTCATCTATGTGTACAAGTGTGTCATCCTGCTCTACGGCACCCATCTCTCATGGGCCACACGGAATGTCGCCCTCAGCGCCATGAACGATTCAAGGTGTATCATAATCTCTGTCTATACCTGCGTCATCTTGGTTTCCATGACGACGGCTCTATCATCGACGATGTGGCGGTGGCCCAACGTGTGGTACTCATGTATGGCGTTGGTCCTGCTCCTCTGTACCACACAGGTCCTGGTCTTGGTCCACGTTCCAAAGGTACATGTGATATTAACATCCATTAGTACAAGTGTGTAAAGGCATCCTTTTGCGCGTATCATTGGTTACATGAAGAACATAACTTATTTCATCATCTAGTGTATCCAGTCTATACGTGTTGAAAGTGTTAAATCTAAACTATCAACGGCCGATGTGAACTCTTTTTTCGTTTCTTTCTTCTTCCATTTTTCCGCCTTTCAATGTAGATGATTAGAATAACTTTTTTGATGACCAGCAATAATAAAACAAAAACAAACCTTGTATTTTTTCTAATGCGTTTTGTCATCATTTTTACCCTTCTTACGGTGGAGTCTATGTTTTTCATTCATATCAGCCACATATCATTTCTAAAACGCTCTTTTATGATGTTGTTTTAGTCACCGAGAGACATGATGGGATTTACAATTATCTGGTTGGTTTAATGTTTGAAATGTAATAATAGTATTATCAATAAGCATGATATCAAGCAGTAACCGCTGTCTATTGATTGGTAATTTGATTTGATTTGATTTATTTACCAACAGCAATACAGTAATACATTTCATACAATGTGTTTACATAATTATACAGGAAGAGAAACTATTAGTTGGTAAAAGGGGCCAGATAATAGCACATGTGCTAGTAGAGCCTAACCCCTAAAAAAGCTAAGCAAAGTATTTTGGTACAAATCAGTTTAGAAAACGTTACAAAACAAGAGTATTGAATTTACAATTACAATCGATACTTTTAAAAATAAGAATACTTAAAGAGAAGGTTGAGTTCTGGGAAGAGGTGAAAAATAATTTGTGAGCGTTACTCATTCTTATTATGCAAGTGTGGAAGAACATCAGATAAGACATGTTCCCTGAAAAGCATGGCTCTTCAAATGCCTTCATATTCTAAATATGCATGTAACATCGTAAAAATCGGGGGGCCGGCTTTTTACGCCACGTGTTCGTGTAGTCCCATATACATCTTTCTGTGTACAGTGTGTGTAACTTTACCAAGACTTGGCCAAATTTCTTATCATTTTGATGATTCCAGAACCTTGCAATACACACAAATTCTTATATGCTAGATGATCAACCTGTTCTGGTCGGTTCCACACCGTTTCTTTCACAATGCAATCGCATGACCAGAACTCAACTTCAGCTTTAACAATATCTTACAATGTACAAACTTGATATTTCATTCATGATTTGTCCAACAATGATTTGTAATAGTAATCCGAAACCTATTTCATCTTGTTTCTAGATTCTCGCATGGAAGGATAACCCGGATGCCACTATGCCGTTGTCAAGGACGATAACCTCGTCATACCTAGCAACCAATCACGGTCAATCGTTCGGTCAAGTAGAAGAAGAGTTATTCCTCTTATCTGCTGAAAATGCAGCTTTAAAGCGGTCACTTGGCGAGGTGAGTGCAGTTCTTTCTTTCTACAGGTGTGTATATATATATAATACATGTATACACCAGTAGTAAATCCACTACTCTCAAGCTTTTTTCTTCTGTTGTTTTAATCATATATGAATATAATATTATATATAAATATAAATATCTAAATCTTCCTTCTGTATACATACCCAGGTCCCAGCTGGGTATGATGTAGAACTATTCAGAATGCAATTGCAAATATATTGAAATTATGAGGGAAAAGGACAGTAGTTTTGTAAACAGCGATTGATTATATTTGGCATATTCCTCGTTGTTTTGAAATGTATTCCTTTAGTTGATCCATTAATTTATTTTCTGTAGTGCGTCATTTGATAAAAGATTAAGATCAATGTCAAATGTGTCATATATTTGGTAGGTAATATAGAATAAAACGTTGCAGCATAAATGGGAAAGGGCCTGCAGCATTAAGGAGTAAATGACTCGCTTCGGATTTTACGGTTAGAAGTCGATAAGTATTGGATTTGCACATCATAATATATATGTATATATACAATCTTTATTTTTCCTTCTGTGAGGCTGTTGTGGCCTAATAAAATGGTGCCAGGACGGAATACTCCCCAGGGAGCGGAGCGTGTGCACTGTCACGTGCGGATTAACAATTCAATCCAATGACAATGTAAAGCGCTTAGAAACGTAGCTTTTAGCCCTATGCAAATGTTTTCTTCTTCTTGTATGCCCTCTCTTTTTCTACTGTCAATCTTTGTTCTGATTTTCTATGTCAACTGAAATTTCTATCAATCTATTCTATTCTCGCACTCATATGTAATTCAAAAGTGTCAACATTTTTTCTCTTGCAGAAAGATGAAACTATCAGGCTTCTCCAGAGTCATGTAGGGGTGGCCAAGGAAAAACTTTGTCAGTTGATTGTTGAGGGTGACGGTCGCCATGACAGTGGTTGTGATTTTGATGGTTCCTCCTCAGCTACCAGCCATGAAGATCCTGCATCGATTGGCACCGAGCCAAGTGGCAGCGAAAAGTCCATATTGGACAAGCCCGCAGATTATGTTCAAGAGTCTGGGGGTTCGCAACAAAACAGTCCTATCAAGAAGAAGAAAAGATCGCCGAAAAGGAGCAAAGGAACCTCAACGAAAGGTCTTTGTATGGACCAGGAACCAGTAGTGACGGTTGTCGATTTGGAAGATAAAAATGTTTTAGATCGTTCATCTTCTGCGTTGCTACCTCCATCAACAGGCCGGCGAGAGAGCTTAGGTGTACACAGCATACGCAGAAGAAGAGCTAGTAGTCTACGCAGTGTTGGTAGCACAACGTCACAGTTTGAAGAACTGCGCAACTGTATCGCAAAAGAGCTGCACCAAGCACAACATATATCATCAAACCTGCGGGATGCCATAGCGCAAGATTTGGGCTCGTGTAGACAAAGACCGTTGTATTACGATATCGCGCGTACAGAAGAGGATATTATGTCCTCGCTGAGTAAATCCTACAGACTACGGGACGATGACACCCATTCTTTAGCGAGTAGCACGTTCACATATGACAATCCTATTTTTTCTCGTGATCAGTTTCCTAGGAGGAGTAACAGCAGTTATCGCACGAGCAGAACCAGTAGACAGTCTAGCTTTAGATCAGTTGCCAGCATTGCGCTCGAAATAGCAGAGAGCTACACACGAAGAGGCAAGAATGGGAACGGTAAAGAGAGAGAACTGCAATGGCCAAGTTACATTCCACCTAAGGAATCAAAAGTGCGCAGTGGAGAACCATTACGTGTAGTGCGCAGTTCAGAAGCACCCATTGTGTATACTAGAAGCATATACAATACATACGTTTGAATAAGGAATATTTTTGCTATTGACTTGGCTTATATGTAAATAGAATATCAATTTCTGAAAGAAACAACTATATTTATTACTGAAATTACCTGTATGTTAAATTGTTTTCTGTGTACATGTATATGCAGATTTGTTTTCAACTTTACAAAAAGTGCTATGTTATGCTGACTGAAACTGCCAATATTTTGAAGTTTGTGTTTTGCTAGTATCAGAACACTATTTCACGAGGCCCGGATTCTTCACGAGTCATACGACCGCTTTGGATGTTAAAATCTGTAAATGTCTTTAAATCAAAACTGAAAACACATCTTTTTAATTAACTGTAAATCTAAGCATATCAGGAGCTCCTGTAGCGCAGTAGAATATATACTTAATGTTGGATAGTTTCTGCGCTCTATAAATGTATTATTATTATTTACATCACCAACAACAAAAACAAAAATTATTCTTATAATTGAGAATATAAAGAAATAGAAATACATGTAATGAAGTCTAGAATCAAGTTCTCAAAACCTACTAACTAAAACTTGCAGAACTGTTTAAAAGATAATGCGCCCTCACACGACGCTTTGTTCACAACGCAACCTTTGCCATTTGTATTTGCCCAGATAAACGTATTGATCTTATTTATCAATGTGTCTTTTAATTGGAACACGTGTCTCTATTGATATGTTAAAATACAATTACATCTATTATAAGAGTAAATATCATGTGTACAAGACCGTATCTAGACCAGAGTAGACCAGAGAGTGTATTGATAAGGCCAAGTAAAATTTATTCTTAGTTTCTTGTCCGGATTTCTCGAAAACAAGAGGAAAAGGGGTGTCATGTTATTTGATATCTGATTTTCTATCACAAATATGATAGACTATTTCCTTAAAGATGCTATTTCCCTTTTGCAGCCATCATCAAATTCTGTAGAACTTTGCAGGAATATGAATATGTCATGTATGTCCTATCTGTGAACTTTAAACGTTAGCATTGTCCTAATATTCAATTATGCAAGGAAACCCGTTTACTTGCTAGACTTCACTGTCAGACACTATTGAGTACCTAACTGGCTTTTCTTCTTCTTTGGAAATAACATACATAAAATGAGCTGTAACGGGTACATGAGTATTTGTCTACCTCAATAACCCACTTCTTGTAATGCCAAAATTAAACTGATTGAATCTTTGCGCAGTACACTTCGGTACAATGGTCTGAAAATCAGACTATTATTTACTGGCTCTATAGCTCTTAAGTCGATTCGATGACTAAAAATCGTTATTTTCCCACTTCAAGACATTTCAAGCCCCCCCCCCTTTTTTTTAGGCAAGTTCTAAATTAGTATTTTTATTATAAATTAGTATTAGTATTTAATGTATATTCATTCACATTCTGACTATATTCAAATACAGTTATTCGTAACAAGTGTATGAAATCATTTGTAAACCAGGCATTTAACAATGATTTGTGAATTGAATTTGAACATATTCCGAAAATGGCCTATTTAAAATGGAAATCGTTAATTCAAAATTAATTTGTACATCTATAACAGAGGTTGAACACAAGGTGAATTTGTATTATACTAGTGCTGTTTGTCAGTCATATTGTTCAGCAGTCCTCGGATTGGTATTATTATTTTTTTTTTTCAGAACAGAGATATCAGATAACAAAGAATGGAGTTGGGCCGAGAAAATGAAAGAGGAGGGAAGAGTAACTAGAATTTATTTCTGTTTGGCCTATTAAACAGTCTCGTGTAGATCGAAAATTGGAGTCGTAGAATGTTCATATACAAAGACATTTTAATATAAATTTAATAGCTTATTCTTTTCGAGAGTCATCAACGACATGACAGCATGCATGGTGCTATATATGATAATATATAATAATATATGATAATAATGCCCTTAAAATAGCAAAAGCTTTCAGTATAACAACTAGATTATTAAAGCAAACATGTGTAATTGCTTCAATTTCATTGTATTCGTAACTGATATAGACGATTGGAAAAGACAAGAAGCTTACTTGACATAGCCTGGAAAAGGAAGGTGTTACATTGAATGATATGTTAATAAATTGTATTGAAACATAAGGTGATTTTGTTTCTCCATTTATTTCTATATCGTGTTCTACTTTTTAAACAGGGGTAAAACTTTTTAGAAAGTTTGATAGCCATCAGATAATGTGGGTGATTCGTTAATGTTATGTATAACACGTGTGGCCTAAGAGGGTAGGTGAGAATGGAATTAGGGTCAAAAGCCCAACTGAAGATAATTCTGAAGGAAATTGTTCTGACGCCTATACCTTGGGTCATGGGTCAAATCAATTTGTTTTACTTCTAGCGATTTCTTTATTTCCCTCACAAGGATCTCGTTAATGAGGTTAACCTAAACACATCGGTGCTAAATAAACTCACGGGCACTGGTATGGGTGCACATTGAACTATATACAACAACGTGCCATTTCAAAATGTAATCAACAGTTAAGAAGTACTGTATCTCTTGACATATCTGAATTGGGAGACCTTTATTTCTAAAAGACCTTCATTGTGATTATCATGATAATCCCCCACATACAAATGACGAGAAAAAGAAAGCTCACAATTTTGTTCTTCCCACTTTTACTAGAAAGAGACTTTCTCTTTAAACTAATACAAGGCCTAACTTATATTATATCCAATAGAGTACCGAAGCTGTGACGTCATAAAAATCTATTTTTAGAATTTCTCAATTTTGTCTTCATTTTCCGAAAGAGCATCAAAAATAATGTCCAAATGTCGAAAACCAATTGAATATATTAGTATTGGCTGAGATATGACCATCTGAATGAATATATTTCCTATAGGAACTCAGTGTTATATGCTCTGGCTCCTAATGGTTAGGAGCCAGAGTAGATACCACTGAGTTCCCATAGGCAATCTTTTTATTCAGATGGTCATATCTCAGCCAATACTTAACATATTCAATTGGTTTTTGACATTTGGACTTTATTTATTATACTCTTTCGGAAAATGAAGAAAAAAATGAGAAATTCTAAAAATAGATTTTTGATGACGTCACAATTCACCACTCTATACAGGGACGTAAAGACTGGTGCCATGGATTTGTATTCGTGATTAGGCTTGTCATACATGACAGACAGTAATGATTCACGTCGACTGAGATCTAATTAGTAAGACCCTCTACGAACAAACCCTTTCTGGGTCAATGCAGTACAAGTATGTTTTGATCTTGTAGCAACAGGAAGAACATCTTTCAGGTTTGATTTCGATCCATAAACCACGACGTATTTGGGTTCAACGAGACACTCAAAAACACTATACCACGACGATGCCGTACAACAAAAGATATTGATCGGGATTCCTTTTAACAATGACGTAAAATTGGTTTAAGGTTCCTGGATATTACATTGATCTTGGTGAAGAATCAATGAGTGAAGACCCAATCGAATTCATAATCAGACAATTTTCATTTCATCACATTCTGCTTGGCAACTACCTAATATAGTCATCTGGGGGGTGTTTCACAAAGATCTTAAGTTGAACTTATCTCTAAGTTGGACTTAAAAATTATGGAAAGCCGTTAGCATCTTTGAAAATATTTTGTAAAAGTTATTTTGAAAGGCATAAAATGTTGATTCAAATCATTCATATTTTCTATCATCAAGGAGGTTTCATGTTCTGGATGTGGAATTTATAAAAAGTCTAAAATACTTGAATTTCTGCTTTTGAATATATTTCATTTTAAGGCTCCAATGGCTGTCCATAATTTTTAAGTCCAACTTAGTGTTAAGTTCTACTTAGGATCTTTGTGAAACACCCCCCACTTATATATACGAACAGAAAAAGACAAATAATCATGATTGTCTTTTTATCAGTTCACGAAATACTTATATGCAATCTTTTGATTTACTCTCTGTCTTGCTTTTTAAAGAGGTGTGAAACCAACAGATGGATTGAAAGTTTTCACCTGATGCTTATCGAGGACTAGGTAATTTTTTGTTAGATGGCTAGCAAGATATTTGTAAAAACTATGTTTTACTTATGTTTTATTCGAATGTCGCGGATCTGGTGGTAATAATAGTCTGCATCATGTTGTCAGCGAATGATCTGTTTGATAGAAAATCCGTTTTTTTAAATGGCACAACATTTAAGGTATAGGAATAGGTATAAAGTTTAGGGAAAGTTTTTTGTCATTTGTTGTATATACATACATATATGCAGAATGTATCTTCCAAAGCTCGAGTCTTAAACCTAATGAGGACGGGGTATTTCGAGGGTTTCTAATACCGGGGGGCATTCTGACCCCCCCCCCCCCCTCCCCAAGATCTCGACTATGATTAGCGATATGAAGACGAATATTGGTACACATATTGATTAAAGTATAATGAATAACATGACAACAATATTGATACAATTATGTTGCTGTATTTTTAACCATTGATTTCTTATATAATATGCAATTTTGGGGCAAAATTTGCAAAACATATACCTATTTTGCAGTTCTACAGTGTAAAATAGTTGGAAAATTAGTTGTTTGGTGAGAAGTTCAACTTCACAAAGTAGCAACAACAAACAGACTGTTAGTTCATATATTTTTTGTTTTTCTTAATTTTCTTTTATTTGTTTTCTATTGTTTTTCATCATCAACATATCATACGGTTCGACCATTCTAGGATAATTGAGGAAATAGAATGTGAGGATGAACAATAGCAATAATATTTTTTTTTCAATTCAAATAATATATATCGTTTTAAATTTTATTTGTATTTTATTCGTATTGTATTTTTTTCTTCTTATGTTTTCTATTTTTTTTTTTTTACATTTCATATTTTATTTTGTTGGATGAACCCAAGATTGGTCTCACTTAGTGGAATATGAGTGTAGACCTTCTTAACAATGACAAAGATCTACTCATTTTGAGATTATCATTGATTCTTCTATAGGCTAACACAATAGCAAAAAGAGAAAATGCCAATGTTTATTGACATGTGATCAATAAATTTGACACCAAGTCCGAATTGTACAAATTTGGTATCAAATTGTGTGGGAGACTTGAAAGAAAAAGTACTGAAACATGAATCAGGAAATGCAAGCGGTGAAGACGCAGCGCGAAAAATTCTGGAGAGGAGAGGGCATTATGCCCCCCCCCCCCCGGCCTAATTAGGTTTAAGGCAAATATCGAATGGATGGGAAATTTTCCTATCATGTATCACTCTCAAAAGTAGGCGTTCTTTTAATTGACATAAATAATGGTAAGAAAAGTAATAACAATGACAATAACGATAATGATATTACTACTTCTACTAAACTACTACTACTACTACTACTACTACTACTACTACTACTACTACTACAGTTTTGATAAT